GTTTCAAGTGAGCTACCATTTTGTATAGGTATTTTTTTATTACTTTGCCAGACTAAACCGAATTGTGGAGGCTTTATTATATGGGTTTTTTGTTGTACAAATATCTAGGTAACCATAAAAACTCAATATGGGTAGGTATTCATTTTAAAATTAAATGCAAGTGTATATATATATATATATATATATATATATATATATATATATAGTTTATAAAGAATAGAGATACTAAAAGCCGAGGGCCACAGCTAGTTTAGTAACATCTGACAGGCAATACACAGCCTATAGCCACTTAACACCTCCAGGTAAATTTCTAAGAAAATAATTAAATTTCTAAGAAATCTTTAACTGTAACGCCGGCGTGTCCGCGGTCGTGGAGGGATTAATCTAGCATAACATTTTGCATGACAGCTTCCTGGGGTAAGTGTGCGCATGCGTACACTCCCATGAGCAATATTTTAGTAAAAAAATAATAATGACTTAGTTTATTTGCTGGTAAAGCTATGTTTAATTATCATTGCTTCATGTGTGCATCATTACTTTTAAATTTTATGTTACAGTGTCATCATGCCGCGAACATATTATAGGGAGATCATGAACGAATTAGTCACTAAATCGTTCATGACCTACCTGAGGTATGTATTAGGAAATAAACTCGAACTAGCTCCAGAACAACAAATGGCTAAGGCTAAAGAGCTCATCCGAAAGAGGAGAATAATAAGAGAACTGCTGCAAATGCTATTGCATAAGTGATTCCTGTTTTCGCAAAAAACTTAAACTGGACGGAGCTGCAGATTGAATAAAAATTCAATGCAAATGCAATGGATACTGTGGTGATAATCGTAGTTGATATCGAAATATTAATAATTATGAAAGAAAGATAATTATTTATCATCGGAACTACTTTAAACTTGATATTAGTGATATTAATAATCTTAAATTCAATAAAATAAACATATGTTTTGGTTTTTTTTTTGTAATTCATCTGCTAAGGAGGTAAAATAGGGGATGTAAAATTTTTAATTCAATTCTAACTTTTTGTTCGCGACATTTTCAGCGTAGACTAATTGTAAGTCAAGTGAATCTTGTGTGATTGCATGTAAAAAAATGTACAAATATGAAATGAAATTACAAATTACAATATCGATATGACAACAATTCAATGAAAATTAAAACTGAGTAAATTTTTTAAGTCCACGCGAAAGTAGCCGTAGCGCAGAAAGTTATAACAAAAAAAGAATGGTACTTTATATGTGTAACTTAAAAAAGGAGGGGAAGGAGGGAGACTGTAAGTTTCAGGTAGTGGAAAGGAGTTACATAACATTGGGTAGATGTTAGCCTGTTAGTAGGTATGTTAGTTATAACCCATTTTAGCCGAGTTACATGATTTTTAAGTCGTAAACATTGTATGCGAGTTGTATCAATGTACTCTCTTTCTCTAACATTGGAAAGATGAAGTAGAAAATGTGCAAAAATACACTACCTCTAGTAAAGCTTGCTAAATACTTTAAATGAAAATGAATTTACAGAATACGTTAAATATATTTTCAGATACCTACTGGATATTTTGAGTTACAATCACTCAAATTTTAGTTTTCTATAATATTTTTATGAAATAATATTAAATGCGACGTTGTTTTTGCAAATAATAAAGAATTATGTATTGCGAAAACCTAGAAAAAAATGTTTGTATGTAAATATTTTAGTAAAAACATAATAATATTCGGCGATACGGAACCCTCGATGCGTGCGTCTAAATCTTTTTTACACATTTGCTACAACCATTAGGTACAGTCATCAAATTATTATTAGGTATAAGACTGAAAGAATATTCCAAAGAAATGTTGTAAACAAAAAACTACGTTTTGTAATAATTGTTTGTACTAAGGACTACGTTTACCTACTTACCCCGTAGGGGTGCGTACGGTTACCCGCAATACGGGGAAAGTGAACGCATTCCGAAATTGTCCCTTTAATTGTTTGTTGCAAAAAAAAAATACTTTTGATTTGTTTGATTTTTTATTTCTATTTATTGTCAAATAAATGCTCTATGATTTCCTTAGATTTAATGTTTAAAACATAGTAGTATGGTTTGATAGGCAAAACTGCGCACAGTTGCCCCCAATGAATAAGTACTACCAATTTTATATACTCCTTTTTAGTACAGACAATTCTGTTACTGTTTTAATAGTATAGGCGTTTAATTTACGAGCAACGCAATACCAGAATACTGCCATAATCATGATGTAGATGCACTTTGACAGTTTTCATGAAACATTGCTGTAAGTAATGAGACAATTTAAGAACAAAAATGTATAATTATCTAATGTATATATTATGTAATGTAGCTATAATACAAAATTAAATGATTATTCCTTGCAGTTATCGATTTGTGTATAGGTACACAATATATGCGGTGGCGGATTTGATTTCGCAATGGCAGTTTGCGTCATTTTCTTAATAGCACTAATTATTTTCCTATGCAGTTCTTTTATTAGTAAAATTTTGTTTTAGTACCTAAAAGTTAGAATTTCACCACTATAGAATCTATAGTGTGCACATACAACAACAGTTGGTACCAACTCATGAAGTAGGTAAATATTTAATTCTAAAAGGTATAAAATATTTACACATAAAACAAACATATAGGTAAATTATTTTCATTTTAAATAATCTTTAATCTTTTTGTTTTTTATTTATAATTCAATTTAAGGCAAATTAAAATCCTACAAACGGAAATGTGCTAATCCGAAGACAGCATTTCTTAAATAATAGGATGAATGAATGAGTTCTTTTTTTGCCATTGAAATCCCTCGCACGTTTGCTTGAGTCAACACTGTCTGTTACGACTTCCGATGGATATAGTTAATCACTTCGTGAAATATTTAAGTATACCTACACTGATTTTAATATCTGGTTAGAATTGTCAACTTTAAAAATACTTATTCAATACTAGCATTGCCCGCGGCTCCGCCCGCGTTCAGATGACCGAAAAACCAATTATTAGGTTTTACATTAGTATAGGTACTCTTACAATGCAGTTTTTATATTTTTTCTCAGAAATGAATTTTCCCGCGGTAAAAAGTATCCTATATGTTGACCCTAGTATATTTCAATAAGATTTTCCAAAAAATATTTAATGTATAGATTCGGCTTAGTTACAATTTTATTATATGTAGGTATTGATATCTATCTAAATTAGGTATGTTCATAAAAGTAGATTAAAATTTAAATAGTGAGAGGGGTTTTCAGATGAATTTTGTTACGTCTACTTACCTACACCAAAATTCATTAGTTACACGTTTATCGTAGATAGATGTAAATTTCAGTTATAAAGGCACATACATACATAATACAGAAAATTACATTTACAACCGTTTTTACTGGGCAGGTAGAAAATATTTAGGTACCTATCTACTATAGATAATTTATAATATTAAATGGCAATTCTTGTACATATAGGTAGGTACCTATATCAATTTATTTCCTATATCTCGGAAACGGCTCTAACGATTTGGATCAAATTTTGTATTTAGATACTTAATGTTTTGCTTTAAAAAAAAACACGTAAAATTTACGTTTTTTCCGGATAAAAATACCAATTTAGAAAACACCGAACGAAGCTCGGTGGCACATGTAGGTACTTATTTTATTTAATTTAAGTATAACTAGCGGCTCACCCTCGCTTCGCTCGGGTTCGTCGCTAGGTACGTTTTAAATAGATATAAAAAGAAAAAATCTTTCTTTCTCACATTTTAATTATATGTTTTAATACTTACCTATTCCGGACTAAGAGAAATCCAAAAATTAAAATATCATAAAAATTGGAACGCGGTCGAACGGGATAAAAAGTATCCTATGTCCTTCTCCTGGCTCTAAACTACCTCCCTGCCAATTTTCAGCTAAATCGGTTCAGCCGTTCTTGAGTTATAAGCGAAGTAACTAACACGACTTTCTTTTATATATATAGATGATGCATGTTAAAATACTTTTCATATTAGAAAAATTGACGTCTCGTGTAGTCAGTCAGTGGATATTTACCTACCTAATCAAACTAATTTAATAAATACTTTTACTATATTTTATTTTTTGTGTTGAGTATTTATTGAGGTAAGGTAAGTATCTCTCTCAAAAGCTGAAATATCTAATGGGTTTATTTATTTAGGTAGGTACATATCCATATATTTTTAATTAAATGACGTCATATTACAATAGTAGGTAAATTATTTTGTTGTTTCCCCGAAGTATGCAAGTTAGATAGTAATTATTTTATAAATAAGTAATTACTTTATCTTATGAATTATGATAGGTACCTAAAGGCAGATAGATAAGAATTACGTTACATGAATTATTAATATGTTCAAATAAAGTTTATTTTTCCATAAATAATAGGTTTTTAAATTGTGATTTCAAAAAACATAATTGAATTTATTCAAATAAATTTAAGTAAAATTATACTTCTTTAAAATATTTATTTTGTATTAAACACAAAAAATATTTTTAATATAGTGAACTCGTTTTTTTATAAATGGTAAAATGTAAGTGTTCGAACTGTGCTCAATTGCGGTAGTGTGACCTAAGAATAATTGACAATTATTGTGCCTCACAAAGAGCCTTAAAGGGCTAGGGAATTGGGGAGGGCTCACATCAGAAAGTGTCGTTAAAGTCGGGTCGTCACCGCCCCTCGTCGCGCCCAGATCGTAGAGCGTCCCACCTGACGCAATCTGGTTCTTGTGGAGCGAGACGCATATAGCTTTTAGAAATACGTCGGAATGAGACGGACGTCTCTTCGCAAGAGGCGGATCGACCTGCGACGCATAGCATCAAACGGTGTCGCCCACAATTCCGCTCATTCGTCTCTCGTTTAGCGTCCGCTATGTAAACGGGTCTTGTTGTGAATCTAAACAAAATCAGTCAGTCATCGTTTTGTTGCCGTAAGGGAAGCGCGTCGAGGTATCGTGTTCGGGTTGAATATGTTGTGGTTGTGAACGTAACACGGCACGATGCACGCGTTGTTTGGGGAACAGAGTCATTATGCGTATCGCAGCGGAGCAACTGGAGGCTATTCGGCCGGTGTCACACCATATGCATATGAACAATACCGGTATGGCTATGGACCACCCTATCTCCATCCTCACCAACAGCACGTTGGAACTCCTAAAGACATGGTTAAACCCCCATATTCTTATATCGCCCTTATTGCTATGGCGATACAAAATGCACCCGATCGACGAATTACGCTCAATGGAATTTATCAATTTATAATGGAACGTTTTCCGTATTATAGAGAAAACAAACAGGGTTGGCAGAATTCAATTAGGCATAATTTAAGTTTAAACGAGTGTTTTGTCAAAGTGGCAAGGGACGATAAAAAACCGGGTAAAGGAAGCTACTGGACCTTAGATCCCGATTCCTACAATATGTTCGACAATGGATCTTATTTAAGGCGGCGACGTCGTTTTAAGAAAAAAGATGCACTAAAAGAAAAGGAAGAGGCACTAAAACGTCAACAACAGCTACAGCAAGCTCAAGAGGCTCTGGCAGCGCAAGAGGCTCTTAGTAGTGCAGACGCTTTAGGGCCAGCTCGAGATGTCAAACCTGACGTAAAACCGCGTATTTTCGAATGTAGACCAAAACGAGAACCAGGTTCTGATTGTTCTAGATATGATAAATTGACAGAACCAATGGATGAGTTTAATGAACCGCGATTACCACCATCGGCTGTTTATTGTTCTCCTCAGCCATACTCATTAGCAGCCGAAGAATTTCGAGCGGCCACAACTGGATGGTACGCTGCACCCGAGCCACCCGCTGAACAACTGCCACCGGCTTTCCGAGATCTGTTTGAGCCCCCCAGTTGTCAATTAGCGGGATTCCGTGGGGGTTCACCAGTGCCTGATACGTATCGCGCCTCTCCGCCTCCTCATCACCACTACCGTACACAAGCTCCTTCTTACTACCATCATCAAGCGTGCGTAGCTGCTGCACCGTCATCCGCCCATAAATCCTACTGAGATAATGCACTCAGGTGAGATGAATATTATTTATTTCTTGGCCCAGCGCTTTGCGAATGTTTTAGATGATTTTTGGCGTAGCGAATAATGCTGTGCGAGTTCCGTTCGATATCAACCCCAGCGGCCGTGGGGTAGGTGGTATCGTGACGTGGTTGTGGTTGCAGGAGGCCGGCAATATTTGGCGCCGAACGGATTTAGTCGTACGCGTCAGTTCCAGAGCGGATAAATATAGCGCAGTAGCCGGAGATGCCGTGGATCCAAGTGGCGGCGCGTCGATAACCACTGTTTACAGATCGGCGGCCGGCCCTGCCGCCTCCCGCTCCGTTCACACCTATAGGTATGTCGAAACATCACATGTGTTTGATATTGTCCGTAACAATGAGTAGTAATAGTGCTGGGGTGTGCGTACGCGGAGCGGTGTGGGTGCCCAGTGGCGAAACGGCGACTGCATCGCGTCCAGCGGAACACAACTTGAGGTTTATACAAATCACACAATATTTATTTATTATTGTTTGTCAAACATACATTTATTGTTGTTTACGACTGTTTAATGTGTCTTTATTGTCATAACATACCTACCATAAAATTAAGTAAAACAGTCTTACCAGAAAGTTCTATTATAGGTATTATTTTTATTATTTACAAAAAATTGAAACCTGGAATTATTCATGCATCCTTCTCGTACAATATTATACATATATTTCATATAGTATTTATTATACTTAACGTATCCACTACAATATGTAGTTAGTTATGCATTGTGCTAAAGAAGAAGTGAACTGACCATCTGGTAACCAACTGGGTAGAACTGCACAAAAAACAAATATATTATCTATTCAGCTTCTCTTTAAAGTAATAGGTAGATATATAAAAAGTTTTTAAACTTTGACTAGAAACCTTTTCTGCTTCTAATATTTAAAAAATATATACTTATGATTATTGTAATTATTACTGTATTCTCAGGGTACCTATAAATTCTTAGTCAATAACAGTTATTAATTAACATCCACTGCGAAATATGTATTTATATGTAATTATTTATGTACCTACTCAAATATACCTAATCAATATTTAAATCTAAGTAATTGGCCCATCTTTACGTTCACATATTAGATATGTAGATATATTAGACACTGTTACCATTATTTATCACTATATACACCTAGACACCATTTTTTGTGCAATTTTAATCAGGTACAAACCAGTAAGCTATGCAAATTAATAATTGAATTAAAAATAAACATATCTTTTATTTATATTTCTCTTATTATGAAAAACAAACCGCAATAAATGTTAAATATCTTTATATGTTGTTCCGAAAACTTAATTATAAATTATATTACAGTATGCGTATTATTAATTACATATATTATGTATGTATCAAATGAAATAATGGGTATTTATAGGTACCTAGAAGTTTTTGTTATCAATATTATTAATTAATAAGTATCTAGTACCTACTTAAAGAAAAAAAAACTCTTTACAGGCTTTAAAATGTAAGCAAAGAAATATTGTTTATCCATTTTCTTCTGAAAAAATAATATTAAAAATTGACTAGATAATTTTTTGTGTTATATATTTGTATTCATTGATTTTGTTCTTGTCCTAGGTAGAATGGAACGATGCCAGCGGGAGGTGAAGTGCAGGGAAAAATCTGTAAAGTTTTCTTATTAGTTACCTTAGTCACGATGACACATAGTGGCTGATAAATATTTCTTAAGCTTTAAATTAATGAAATATTCGTCCTCAGTATGTTTCTGCACTACTAACACCACGGTTAGGAAACTTTTACGAATTGAAAAACTTTAATGTCGTATATTAAAGTATTAACACTGTAATAATATTGTATCGACATTCTTAGATAAGAATTCGGATGTAAACGATGTAATAGTTGTATAATAGCACTGATGCAAACCTTTCAAATATTCGTATTCTTATTTACCCGGCCAGTAGCTTATTCTTGTGAGTGAAAGACTACATTAGCTATTTACGTAGTGATAGATACTTAATGAATTTTAAATTTTAATGTACATAATATGATTAAATAATCATTAAATATATTTATAAGGTAGGTGCAAATAAAAATTCATGGTTATAATTACTTTTTTCTAGTCTTTATGTTGGTAGATATCTATCAGTAAGCCTTTACCTAATACTTTGATAAACTAAGGATGACTACAAAGAGCGCTGTTTTATAACATATTAAAATACCAATCAAAATAGACTTACCTATTATATTTTTGTTCATACATCATTTCTGTATTGTATTAATTTTATACAAATTCACATGCTAGTACTTAAATGCCTTAGTCTTCAAATCACGTATTGAAAAGTATTTTATTTGAGCTCATTAATGTAAAAAAGCTTCATTATTATCAAGTAGGTAATGTTATTTTGTTGAACATTTATATTTTATACTTTATTTACAATACTATGGATAGCTAAAACCTAGTATAAACATTAAAGTAAAAGTAGTTTTAATAGCATCATAGCTTAGCACTTAGCCTCTTATTAAAAGTCAACTAGGTACAATTCCGATATATAAGATAATAATGTATGAATGTACGTAAATTGCTTTTAATTATATTGTGGTATAAATTATACGCTATTTATTTTTTAAGGATCTCATATACCTAAATAATAATTTGTTTAAGTAATTAGGTAATAATTTCTGTACCTACCTATTCAAAAGTTGAGTTGTAGCGTTAAAAAATGCATTCTATTTATATTAAATAGAATTCATCTAGTACTTAATTGTTAAATTTTAATTTAATTTCAGCGATCATTGTATAATAATTATATTAAAAAAGTCATATCTATAGACCATGCTATTCCTACTAGTGATAAAAGAGAACAGTTTTTGTTTTTTGGTTTTTGTAGCGCTATACCCAAATGAGGTTTCAGCACAAAATAGGTGTAATTTTAAAATAATTTATTTATATGAACTACATACTCAAATATAATACACAATACTATCAATAAATGAACTTGAGTATTTTTTTCAGACTTTCTCCCATGATCCCGTTGGTACCTGAAGGCCGTAATTGTATCTAATTTTTTTCATTGAAAGACCTTGTTAGGCCACTTCTGTGCTGATGGACTGAAATGCGAAGCTACTTTAATTTTCATTTCAGTTCTCGTTCAATCAAATAACATTTTGGTTTTTGAGGAATGGAGAAATTACAATAACTATACGTAGATGGTTTTTTTTAAATCTGAAATAAGTAATGCTTACCTAAAAACATGATTTTTTTCAGAAATATTTAATATTGACGAAATATTTAATATTGACGACAACTCAAAATAATAAAATACACCATGACGCTACTTAGTCTTCTAATATAATTTATCTTTCTCATTAATATAGCCTGTGGCATTCTATCGGATCCGTACCACTTTGTATAATCTTCAACAAATATACCTACTCATATAATTACCTATATATAAATACAAAAATTATCTAAGTAAATAAAAATAAATGCAACAATACAACTTCTTATTATATTCGTGTCAGTCATAAGTTCCATAAAATCGTTTTAGAGTAGTTTACTTACGATGGTAAATGGTAATTCAGTCTTCAGGTTTCTTTATTAAAAAAAAATTATGTTATGCATTGTAATACTTGATTTAAATACACACCTACATTTGAGTTAATAGCAAATAATTACTTTTCAACTAAAAAAGAACATCATTCGTTCGAGCAACATTCTAAAAGAATTATTCCCCTCTTAGAGGTGGAAACGCGTTCTTCTTTATATGGGACCATCCTCGAAGTATAACATATTGATTATAAAGAAACATTAAAAATTGATCCACAATTGGCGAAGATGTCGCGTAATATATACAAAAATATACTCCTGGCATACCTCCGATTTAAAAAGAAAATGATTTATTTATACGGTCAATGGCTTGCAGATTTTCTAGAATTTCAAACTGAATATGTAACTTGTACTTAACTTGTTCATTAGATACAAGTAAGTATTTAAAAAGAAAATAGTTATGAATTATAGATTATTTTAATTAATAACTTTGTGATAATTGTCTTAATTGTGTGTAAATATGTATTTACATAATAAATGGTTATTTGTATTTAGCATAACTACTAGCGTTTTTATTTATTTGCCACTAAACTCCTCTTTCCGTTAGAGCCTACGCTTACGTTTCCGTTAGTTACTCGTAGCTTACATATCAACTAAATACATAGCTCTATAATTTGTAGGAAGACATCATTCACATCACATCTAAGAAATGATTTTAATGGTTTGTTAGGTGAGAAGAAGGGTTAACCTGATAAATACCTACATAGTAAGCACAATATGTGTTGTTGTATTCAGCCCTTTTTTATCGTCCCACTGCTGGGCACGGGCCTCCCTTCAATACGAGGGGGATCAGGCCATAGTCCACTACGCTAGCCAAGTGCGGGTTTGCGGACTTCACATGTCTTTCGAAAACTTGCTTTCTTCTCTCTCTCTCTCTGGTTCTCTAAGACATGCAGGTTATCTCACGATGTTTTTCTTCACTGTAAGGCAAGTGGTAATCATGTTAGAAATGATTCGCACATGAAAATATCAGAGATGCGAGACACGGGATTTGAAACCGCTTCACTCGGTTTTCCAAACGAGCGTGTTAACACTGGGCTACCACTGCCTACGAGCACAATATAGGAATAATAAATAAATAAATATTTTGGGACATTAACACACAGCACCATCTGCCTCCATGGTAAGCTACGAGGTTTGTGTTATGGATACCAGATAGTTGATACACTACACATATATGAATTTAAAATACGTATATATTATAAATTTAAACACCCATGACTGGAGGACAAACATTCGTGCTCATCATACAAATGAATGCCTCCAGCGGGATTCGAACCCGCGGTAGCTAGCACAGCAAGTAGGGGCACTACAAACTGAACCAAACGTGTCTCAACTACTTAGCACAAGGAAGAGTGATAACTACTTAGCATTAGCTCTACAAATAAAGATAATTATGTTGATATCGATATGCTTGACGCTCTTTTCTCTCTGAAAATCCTGTAGAAGACAAAGCACGAAGATTTGTAGATATATGTATATAAGTAGAAAGAAACGAACTGAATAATAAATATTTACTCAATATGCGTTTTTGTTACGTCACGACACGTACGTAAGTCTGGAACCATACACACATTTGTTTTATAAAAGTCAGTCTATAGACCCATCACAATTTGAAGAAATAATATTAAGGGAGGGGTGTCCTCGTTGTTTCAAATACTAGTTGTCACAAGTTCAATGTTTAAAAAAGTAAAATAATTTATATAACGCGAATATTCCTAAATTGGTACACACTGTAGCGCTACGGACATTAGAAAATGTCATGGTCGCCAAATTTTTGTATC